CCCCAAAACCCCAAAACCCCAAAACCCCAAAACCCCTAAATTTAGGTTAGAATTGAAATTAATAAATAATTAAAATGGAGGAGAACAGAGAGAAAAAGAAGAATAAGGAATGGTCGATTTGGAGTTGATTTTGAAAGTGAAGAAAGAAGAGTAAGAGATGTTTTGGTTGGGGTTTGAAGATGGGGTTAGGGGAAATATTCAGATGTGATCACTCAGTTTTTTTGAATGATTTAACTATTTTTTTATAATTATTTCGAACTTTTGGGAACTAAAAGAGATTTATATTGGAAATAATTTAATTTTCTTTAGTTTTAAAATTTAAGAATCTTAGAAGAATTGGATAATTATAATTCAATTTAAAAACAATTTCTAAAACTTAATATCTTTATATTTTATCAAATTCCTTAAAAGAATAAAAACAAAATATCTTAACTTTGGACAAACCCTAAGATTTAATCTTATACTTTATTATTGGCATTCTTTGTCTTGAAATTCATTAAAATGTCTAACTTATTAATAGAATCATTTCGTCCCTCAATAGAGGACAGCTCAGAGAAGAGTGAGTCACTACTCCAAGGTATAAAACCTAAAAAACAGCAGAACCTAAAATTCTTCAATATTCTCACAAAATTTTCTCGCTATTTCAAAATTAATTCTACAAGTGCTTTCTAAACTGAATTACCCATAAATTTTCTTTAAAAATTGCCATATATTCTCTACCCATTCACTTCATCCCTCTCATCTCTACACAGAGGATATGGACCTTGAATCCAAGATTACCCCATTCGAAGAATCAAAAACCCATAACGCTTCCCACCGACCAACTAACTCTTCCAAATCCCCTAAGAGAACAACTTTGAAGGAAGAAACCTCTAAGGAAGAGAACGAGACACCAGAAGTTCAGGCACCAAAAAGAGCCGACCCAGTGGGCAGAGAGGAGGGAGCGGATGGAGTAGGAAATTGAGGAATGGGTAGTGAGAGAAATGGGGATACTGAAAGGAAGGAGATGATGGAAGAGGTTGTAGAGGAGGTGATAGAGGAGATAAGGAGTGAGGTGATTGACAAGGAGGTAAGCCAAGGGGAGTTTTGGGGTTATTTTGTGTGTAGATTAAAGATGTGTGAGAGAGTGTTAAGGATGCATTGGTAAAGGAAATTGATGATTTTGGAAGTTGTTTGAGGGAGAAGTATGAATCTGTACAGAAATAGCCAAGGTAATAATTTTATTAAGTTCGAATGACTTTTAGAAATGGGGATATCTGAAAATCTTATCCAAACTTACAAAAATAAAAACTGAGTTGCAACTGGTAAGCGAAAGAATAAGCATCTAGTACTTCTTTGATTTGATTTAAATAACGAAGATTGGAGAATCAAAGCTGATTCCAAATTAAATCTCTCAGACCCAAACATATACTCCATATTATTCACGACACCTTCTCCAATACCAAAACTATTCACTAAAATCCTGACCCACCTCAGCCTAGCCATAAGCACCAAACCTTTAATCAATTCTCCCCAAACGCAGTAAGTCTCTATGTCTTACTGAGCACCGATCAATCCCAAAATCGATCCTTAAAATACCTCAAAACATATCTTAACTCACAATTCGTCCCTTGGCCCATGCTTAGGAAGCACTTTATGCTTTATTTCGGGAACTAGAGATTTGGAGGTGAAGCAAGGGAGTTATTTTATATAGGGATGAGGAGGAAGGTAGAGATGAGAGCCAGTTGGTGAAACCTTATCAAATTACATTTGAGAATTTTGACTTTTCAGAGAAGATGGGATGCCTTTGAGAGGTATTGCAGATTTGTATTGATGAAGAAATTATAAGAGTTGCTTTTGAACAGTGTGTGTTTCCTTATGTAACAGAGAAGGGAGTGAGCCAATTGATTTTCATAACACCTCAAGAACAAATGAGACCATTTTATGGAATAAGTTTTACAGAATGTGAATTCATTCAAAACCTAGAGTAAGCTCCTCATACTCCCAACTTCCTAAGACACCATATAGAGAAGAGAAAAATTATGAATATGACAAAGCTGATCAAATAGGCCTTCTGCTAAATTGTCCAGGTTTACCATCTCCATTAAGAGATCCAAATGTAGAGCTACAAATCGAGGGAGGGATCTCTAGTATTTCTTTCAAGAACAATAAGTTCACTGACATCGAAATGGCAAAACTAAAGGTGTACCTATGCTATGCTGAAAATCTTCTAATTTTTGAAGAAGATAAGAAAGAAAAAGAGGGAGAAGAGGGAGAAGATGAAGAAGTAGAAGAAGATGAAGAAATAGAAGAAGAAAATAAAAAAGCAGCCAAAGAAGAATCAAAAGAATAGCCTTTTAATCTTAATGATTTAGCTTTCAATGATTAGGTCAAGATTTGGGGTTTTGGGGTTTTGGGGTTTTGGGGTTTTGGGG